AAGTTTGCTATATATATATGACCCACTCGGAAAGCTTCACCACCACCTATAATACCTTATTCCTCTGAAACAGTCAACAATTGCAAAAGCAACACACTAAGCCAGGAGCAGCAGTGATGGAAGAGAGACATTAAAGGCTTCTAAGGATAAGCAGAGGTAAATTCTGCCCTCCTCCCCCAGCCCTTCCCAGCATGCCTGTGGTGGGTGGGGTTGGGTCTGTTATGTCCCTTCTTTCTGTGACAGTGCCTGGCAGCACGGTTTGACTGCTGCTTCAGTGGAGGGTATGGTATCTGCCCACACAGGCGCAGGTCTGCCCACTAATCCTGCGCTCAGCGGTCAGTCACAGACATGATAAGGGTCAAACAGAGACTTGGCCCGGGCGTGCAGTTCTGTGCCGGGGAGAAACGGGGAAGTGTGCTGGCTTTGCGCCCTTTCTGCCACATTCAAAAAGAGGCAGACTACGTGAGGTTGGACACAGACTGTTGTTTTTATGTGAGCTGCATGTGCGAACACTCAAAAAACACAAACAAGCAAAAAATGGGTGATACAGAGATGAATGAAAGTTCCTTGTAATAGAACGGGAGTCCTTTTTGTACTATGAAAAATGTTGTAGAATAAAAAGCTCTTGGAAAAACTTATAAGCTTTGAATTCTTTGTTTACACTGTGCTTATATTTCTGTCTGCAATTAATCTGGATTCTCAACTAAAGGCTCTATTTCTATGGCAGCAATGTACTTCCGAGAAGCAATCTCTTCAAAGATATTAATTCTCTTCAGCGGATCTGGCAACACTAAAAGTTCAAAACAAGTCAGTGAAGAGCTTGTGGGATGCCCCGTTGTGTAAGGATGGAGGTATTTGAGACAACTGACAACTAATATCAGCATAAAATGGCTGACCATAAACCATATTTCTTCCCTCAGCCACCGGCATAACAACAAATGTGCCAATTCATTAAACAAAATTGAAATTTCACCCACCAAAAATAACATTCTATCTAGACATTCGCTGACATGAGATAAGAGGTGATGCTCTACAGGGGTCCAGACACCATGGGGTCAGAAAATGCTTTAAGATTATCACGTCTCTTATCAAACCGGCAGATAGATGGGGATTTAAATGCTTCTGTAAGATAATGCATAACAGTCACAACATTAAAACGCAGTAATAGTCTTTTGTCTGCTGTTGAGGGTTCATTTTAAGCAATTGGTGACTAAATGAGTTGGGACCGCTCTCAAATTGCTATCAATTTCAACAGCTCAGAGTTGACAGGACGGCTGTAGTTAGTTCATCCTGCTGACATGCATATTGAAAGATCCCTTTCACCCAAATGAGTCTGTAAACAAGATGTGAGGCCAGCACTGGCAACACAACTCGCAGGAATAAGTGTCAAGGAGCAGTTATTGCATTATTTAGAGCACCATAAAGTGCTGGGCTATTGATTTGAGAGGCAAAGCAGCTCTCTGGTTATTTCTGTCATTGCTGAATCATTAAACTGATATATTAAGCACTGCGCTCTTCCCTCTGCCACCCTGTCTGTTTCCAACAACATCAGTCCAACACTTTTCCGATAATCCAGTGCTCCTATTTATTCCTTTGCTTTTGTGAAGGTTCTCACTTATTAACCCCTCAAATTTGTCACTTCTAACTTATTCTAAGCATTTAAGGCCATGTGAACACCTGGTATTAACATAAATTTGGGGTAATCAGATCACAAAATCCTATTTACACCTTAACATTATCAGATCACCTTAATTTACAATCAACATTTATCTCACCTGTGAACCTCTGATATGGGGGCAGTTAGATAAACGTCGAAATGGAACTGTCTTAAGAACTACTCTGACCAACTAGTAATGAGACAAGGTGTAATCAGTCTTACTTTCAGTTTCAAATTAGACCAGTCTACTTTTATAATTGACTAGTCTTAAATGAAAAAAAATAATAATGATGATGACTAACTTTAAGACTAGTCTAAGCAGTTTATGCAACTGGCCACTGATTCTGTTAAGGGAACTTACTAACTAACTAACTAATTTACTTACTTACTTCTGGTATTCGGGGTCAATATGACCCCACATTGAAATGAATGGGAAATGTGAAAAAAAACAACAAAAAAAAAAAAAACTAAATATATTTTCTTCATGTGTCAAAAAAAAAAAAAAAAAACATGGGATAAATCAGAATTTTTTTACACAGAAATGAAGGCCTAGTACTAGAGCATAAATGTAATGTATCATAAAAAATGTTTCATATGCAAGCTAATGGTGTAGTTGAGGAATTGTGTGGTATATGGATACAAAAGTACTTTATATCTCCAAAAAACACAGCATTAATGAATAGATGAGTAGTAAACCCAAAAAAAAATTGATGTATTATTTTTATGATTAAAAATGTATATTTTTTGTACAATTACTCAATCAATTGTTGGGGTCGTATAGCCCAGAAGTGTAAACAGGAAACGAAGACCATTTGAAGGTTTGACCGTTTGTTTTTATAGACCACAACCTTTGCACGGCAACTGGCATACATACGTTTCCAGCCGTTTTGTGCGTAGGCACGCTTTATTAATGAGACCCCTGAATTGAGCCAGTCGTCAACCACCTAGCCTAACCTAACCTAAAAAAACATATCCAGAACACCATAGCAACCACATACAGTAACATGACAGCAAATGCAACACTTACGAGTTTCTTCTTCTAAAAAAAAATGTATTTGAATTATAAAAGACATAATAACAGCATAAATGAGTTGTAGGTCAAAACAACAGGAGTGTTGGAATACTGAAATTTCTACATCAATTAGCACTTACGAGTTCTCAATTTGTGAACAGTGCATATGGCCAAGCATGCTTGAGTTGAGTGATGTTTTTAGTGACAAAATCTCTCAACTCTTCTTATTTGCTCAAGCGCTTGGTAAAAGATGAGATCTTAGCACTAAAGTTCAAACAACTTATGCTCAGTGTTTCACTCTATTTCACAAATGCGAGTTAAGAGCTACTTAATTAAAGATGCTATCTACTTTGAGTTTCACACACGGCACATAAAAGGAGGTGTGTGCGTGTTGCCAGAGGAAAAGCGGGAGAGTGGACAGGGTGCGGATCGATACGAGAGAGTACAGGCTGTCACTCAGCCTCTTCTCCCCGAGGGAGGCCGTGAGAGATCGAACACACAGATAAACATATCATGGAAATGGAGTCAGTCCTCACCCAGTTTCCAACACTATTCCTCCTCATACAGATAGATGAATGAGAAAAACCAATGAACTAATGAATGAGTCAATGAACGAATAAAAGTAGATTGTGAGGATGAATGAATAACAGAAGAGTGTAATTGTCAGTTGGCCTTTCAGAGATGAATGAGGAGGTAATCCATCTAACTGATAAAATCCCAGTCCCCTCAGAGAGGCTTGCCCATGAGTGAAATATTAGTCTGAAGCGCTTTCACGCATTGGCTTTTCCTGGTGAAAAATAGCATCCTGATACGTCGGTTCAGGTCACACAAATGTCAAGAAACAATTAGGTAAGCAAGACTGTTTTGAAACCCTTTTTTTTTCATGGAGATGATCATCTTTAAAAGTTTTAAACAAGTGGCACCTGGAGGCTTTGGATATTTTACTAATATTCAGTGATGACAACAGATTTCTTAATGACTTGCTACAGTCAAAATTAATGAGGAAATGAGGAAGCAAGTTATTTTTTCTTAAATTGCTACTTTAGGCTAATATAATAAATACTATCCTATAGTCACATCTGTTTTGTTTACTTTATGTTTTCATGTCTTTGATTTCTATATGTTCCTGTTTGTCACGTTATTGCTTTATCCCATCATGTGATCCTGTCATGTGCCTCTTTTGCCGAACGTGTCATTTTCTGATTTGTTCCATGTTTTGTGTGTCACGTTTTGATTGGTTCACTGTTTGTTTAGTCGTTCATGCAGTCATTAGTCTTCGTATATATGTAGCCCGTGTATATGTAGACTTTGATTGTATGTATTATATGTTATACACACAGACATATATATATTAGGGGTGTAACGGTTCACGGTTCGGTTCGATACGATACACTTGTGTCACGGTTCGGTAAATTTTTCGATACAGCAAAACAAAAGAAATGACAGATAATTTTCCTTGATTTATTTTTTTAAATAATATTTTTTTATTAAACCTAACATCGTAAAGTTGATTTTTTTTTTTTTTTTTTACTTTGAGCAATGATGGAGCTATACTTTACTTTTCTTAGAAGCATATAAAAATAGCTCCTTGGACAAAATGAAATGTAATATTGTAGTAGCTATAAACCAGATTTATTTTAGTTTAGATTAACATTTGAGAGCAGCAATTGAATTCATAATGTCAAAATAAACCCGACGTTATGTTACTTGAAAGCATTATAGCCTATTATTCCCGCCAAACTTCCATGGTTACAGTTAGTGTTACTACAGTAAATCCATGGTGATCTGTGGACACTGGATAGTTCATTCATGGCACAATGTTTCTTCCTGGTTTCCACATCAGCGCTGTCATACGTTAATAACAGAGAAATGTGAATCTAGTTTCTCACTAGATCTTGCGGTAATGTTATTACTTCAGTGGCGAATTCATTTTTTTCCTTTACTGGATTTCGCTATGTAGTAACAGTGCTGCTTGATTAAGATTGGCTCGGTCCGTCAACCACACAATAACAAGTAGCAGTTTAGTTCCACTAACATTACATTTGCCATTTGATGTTGGGCAATGTTATGGTCACGCCAGCGTCTCTCACATTATGAGTATGCTTGCGACGCGCATACATTTGAAATGATGAAATTTTGGTCAGCAGGAAAAATGGCCCAACGAACTGTTCGGTTTAAAAACGCGTACCGAAAACCGAACAGAAAGCCTTGTAACGAACGGTTCAACACGAATACGTGTATCGTTACACCCCTTGTGCTGTCCCTATTGTATCCTCTCTCACTTTCTTTTTCTAATGGTGTTACAGACTGGGAACAACAGACATTGCTTACCAGTGGTCTTGCTCTCATTTTCTGGCTGAAACTGCAATAATGATGATAAGCAAAGTAAGAAGCAAGACTCCAGCGATTAGCAGATAACACTTCCTCCTCCTTAGCTGCCTCTGTGGAAGACAGAATAAAAGAAGAAAAAAGTTTGAGATGTTATGTTCAATCAATCATAGTTTACCCAAAAATGAAATTTGTAACAAATTTTTGTCATTTTTAACTTTCCCAGTTTAACACAGAAATAGTTGTTTTCCATACAACGTGAATGGTGACCAATGACCAAAAAGGGGTGGGGCTACATAAGGTCTATAGCACTATAAAAGTATTTCATTCAACAACATGCATTATATTCCAGGTCTTCTGAAGATTTGCAGGCATTGCTTACAAATATTTCCTGTTGCTTTAGCTCTCAATTCTTATTTCTACACTTGAATCTGCAAATATTCACATTTATTGAGTTGTGAACTCCAGTGGAGACATTTAGCTGCACACAAACACACATAGCATTTGTGTGTTTGTTTTATTATTTTTTGGAGCCTGAAAGCCCCTGGTCACCATTCACTTTCAGTACAACATAATGCTGTGTCAGTGTTCTGCTATTGTGCTCCACAGAAGAAAGAAAGGCACACAAGTTTAAAACAACATGGGGGTGCGTAAATTATGCAAAGATGGCATAAACAAAAACAAACTAGACTGTAAAACAAGTTTCTAAATCTTGTCTACATTATAATTTCATGCTGTTTGTAATTAACAAGTGAAACTTTTTTTTCAGTGTACTCTCAAGATATAGAAAATACTAGTTAAATACAACATAAATGGACACAGTAACTGAAAATGCATTCAGATACCATCCAGCTAGACTAATAACAACAGAAAGAAAGATTCAGTAATATCACGTAGATTTGCACTCACACAAAAAAAAAATCCATAAAATAAAGTCTTTCTCAGTCGCACACCACCGTTAAAATCAATAAATCAACAGTCATTATCCAGTACAACGGGCCAGGTACAAAAGGACCTGCATGGAATAAAAGAACAAAATTACACCATCATTTCCAAACATTTTCTCGCCACTGACGCAATACCCCAATACAAAATGAAGGCGCTGCCATCAATTGACCTCTATAGGCGCTCTCCTCAATACAGAGACATGCTTTGAAAATGATTTCTCAAAGACAGAATTGAATTGTGGCCTAAAGTCAAGAGCGGTTGGACAAGCATGAGAGAGCTGCATTCTCCACCACGCTCGAGTTCTGACTGAACAGCGTTGGCAAAACCCATCTGGCTCTCTGATGCTCTTCAGCTCTGATAAGACGCCGCGGCGGGAGGAAGCCCTGCTCTATTTTCAAAATAATTTTGGAAAACTGCCGAAAGTGTCATTTGGACTTTCAACGTTTAAGACTGGAACCCCCTCCCTTCGTATCTATTGCTTTGTCATGTCTGAGATCCAGTTCAGAACCAATGCAACCAACAAGTGAGGGGAAAACAAACAACAGTGAATAGAATTTGCTTGCTGAGTGCGTTTCAATAAAAAGAAAAAAAAAAATCGATTACGCGGACCGAGTGTAGATTCTGTGTTGTTTTGAAATACCTTCCGTTTTTTTTTTTTTTTTAAATCGACAAAGCCAGAATGAGCACCAGTTGTAGGCTACAGCTAGGCTAGAGTCTTTAAATCCTGACGTGCTTCAAAGTGCGAAGAGCAATTCATCTTCTTATCTGAGACTGGAAACAGGCTTTCTATGTGGAAGTGTGCATGTGGGGGGGGAGGGGGGAGGAGGGAGGAACGAAAAAAAAAAACTGCTGTCGAGTAATTTTCCGTTTAAACGTTCCACTCCACAACAATTTGCATAAGCAGCCCTGCGTCTGTGATAAGAAGATTGGTAATTTTCAAAGGCTCTGTAGGGATTGGGAATTAAAAGCCTCTCTCTGCTATCTCCTCTCTTGCAGCTGGTCACCATAGATTCCCTCGCTTCTTTCTTACATTTCTCCAAAACCGCGCCTTATAAACTTTCTCTCTTTCTCTCTCTCTCTCTCTCGCTCTCTCTCGCTCTCTCTCTCCCTCCCCCTCATTCGCTCTATCACTCAGTATACAGTCTCTCGGCGCTGATTTTCACTCTGTGTTATCCTAGGCCTGCTCTGTCATTCAGAGAAAAAAGGAAAATAAATCAGGTAAAAAGGGAACAAATAAAGCTTTAGGTGACAATACAACTGTTGCTCCTTTTCGGATCTTGGATTTTTTCCTGATGCCGCGGAGGGGAGGCGAGGTGGATATGGAGGGTGCAGACGTTCACTGAGTGAGAACGAGAAAGGAAAAATGACTCAAGGATGAAAGGGAAGCTGATGGAGTGAAGTGCCAACAAGAGGAAAGAAAAGGAAAAGGGAAATGAATTTTCTCCCTCTACATGTACCCAATTTAGTCAGAAGCACTAAAACTAAAGCACCTTGATATAGAAAAAGTTTTTTTTTAGGGTTTTGCTATAAATGATTAAACTACTGTAAATATGTGTGGTAATTTCATTAAAAGCTTTGATGTAGTTCTTAAACAATTTCACTTAAAAAGTGTAAAAATGCACTGGTCTGTTTTTGAAAAAAAAAAAAGTCTCATCAATGCTGCATTTATTTGATAAACACACAGTAGCCTAAACAACAATATCGTGAAACATTATTACTTTTCTCTACTCTTCAGTGTCACACGATCAGAAATCATTCTAATATGCTGATTCTCAGGAAACATTATTGATAATATCTTGTTTCCTAATATCTAATATCTTGTTTCCTAATGTTTTCTAATATCTTAATATTATTATTATTATTATTATTATTATTATCAATGTTGAAAGCAGTTGTGCTGCTAAATATTTTTGAGGAAACCATGATACTTATCTTTTCAGTACTCTGATGAATAGAAAGATCAAAAGAACAGCATTTATTTGATATATATATATTTATATATATATATATTTAATAGTATATTTAACATAATATTTAATATTACATTACATTAAATATTATATATATATATATATATATATATATATATATATATATATTTACGATGTACAGTAAAAGTCTTTACTCTCACTTATGATCAATTCACTGTGTCCTTGCTAAATACAAGTATTAATTTCTTCAAAAATGCATAAAGGGGGGCTCAAAAACATTAATATGCTTCACTGAAACAATCTCTTAAATATTGAAAATTAATTTAACATTTTAATGTTTTTGAGCCTCCCTCATATAACTGTGAATATATAAATATAAAAAATATAGTTGTATTCCTGGGAAGGATAAGAGTTATTTTTTTACTGTGTAATATAATTTTAATTGTAATGGGTTTCATGAGAACTACTTTACTATTTAGGCCACTAGTATAACTAATTTCCACCTGAGGATGAAGGCGGAGGGTCATTTAATTCTTGGGCATTTTTCCCCTAAATTAGTATGGTTTTACATTAGAACATGTGAAAACCAATTTTCCACTTGGAAGTGCAACATACTGTTTCTGCTGGACCAACTCATCATGTGACCGGCATTGGTTTTAAGAGAGAGAAAAACGGGGTAGAGAGTAATTTGCCTTGTGTGACATGAGAAACATCTTTGTAATATCATAATAACGCAGCATGATGATTACCGTCATAATATTATTCTGCCTTTATCTCATCTGCTCAGAAAATTGAAGGTCCATAAAATAAATAATGTCTGCACTGCCACTGCCTGGCTTGTAATCGGCTTACGTGTAATTTACATAAAAATTCAGAATCCAAGTCTTCCTGATTATAATGTTTAAATGACACAGCAAATAAACAGGAACTTGACATCCCCACTTAGCGTCGTTCTTAGCATGTTCTTTGTCTTAGGCTGCTGTACACAAGCATGAATGCTCAGTGGAAGAAGAAAGCGTTACAGATCAACAAGGAGGGTTTTAATGTTGTACCTTGATCCTGACACCTACATAAGTCTGAGAAGACGAGCAAATTATTTTTATGGGGACATCTCTAGTAAATTGCCAAATGTTCGAATTACAGTTTTCGTAATTGTAGAAAATGCAGAAGCTGCTTCAAATGAATTGTTAATAGGGGCAGTTATTGGAAAGTTTGGTGTTGATTATTTTGAAAAAGGTAGCATTTTATAATAACTTTGATTAAGTCATTAGGAATCATTATTACTATATAAACAAATCTATTTACATTCTTAAAGGGAATATAATAATATAATATATTATTATGGGCTTTCAGTATCAGTTAATGGCTGCATCAGTACATCCCTATAAATACTACAGTCTTATCATCTGTTTCAATCGCTGTAGTGTAGGTTTAGAAGTAAGCTAGGCTATTGCATCCCAACATTGCCAAATTCCAACTCATGGAGAATAATGTTCCTCTGCTAAACTCTCTACAACGTCCCCTCATTCACATACATATTCATTACACTTCAGCTCCAATATTACACACAGGCCTATGTGGCAGTCATCACAACCATCTGAACTCCATTCATCACCGTTCCCTAAATTACACAGCATGATTGCGGTGCCCGATCACAGCATGACATAGCACTGATCAGCTGCTTTCTGCATTCACAAACCTGACAAACTTTCAACTTAAAGAGCAATTCACTTGTTTAGAACGAGTAAAGATGTTTTCTCGTTATAATATCAGCCTATTTTTATTCATACACCAAATTTTGACTACATGCATCAGCAAATATTGGGTGTAACAAAATTAATTCATCTTCCGAAGAAGATGTGGGTGATGCTTTTTCATGCAAACATGTTGCCGAGGCATTGCTACAGTTCACCGATGCTAAGTTGTTAGAATAATTTTTTAATAAGTTACTAGGGTGGTTGCTAGAGTGTTGCTACATGGTTACTAAGGCTGATTTATACTTCTGCGTCACCACGGGGATCCCCTCTGGGGACGGTTATGATGCAGAAAGTTGTGACGACAGATGTGTCCTTAACAGGCACATTTATAAAAGCTACCTAAATGTCCAACACATACTCATACTAGGGCGTCATATAGTGGTGCTTTTAACAATGCGTCTAAATCCGATGCACATGGCACCATTTAGCGTCAATATAGCACGCTTCGGTTGTGGGTAGGTTTAGGTCTGGGGTAGGGTTAGGGTTAGACCACTAGGAGGCGCCTTCTGGCCCATATATATCTGCGTCTCATGTTGACGCTGAAGGGTGCCATGTGCGTTGGATGTATATTGTCAAAAGCGTCAGTATATGACGCCTTGGGAAGAGAACGGGAATATATAAAATGTCCTAATTGAACTCAGGCCTAATCTAAGCCTTGTCTGTTAAACCAAGCCTACAGCTGCCTTTTAAACCCCAACTAGCCAAAGGCGACATATAATGGTCCGCAGATATAACTCGGATTACATTTTATTGTTTGCCAATTTTATCATCTACCAGGGGAAAATCAAAAGTCTGATTGCTCATAAAAGTAACAGCGCACCTCTCCTCCACAAACTGTATGATTATAGGTAGGTATCATCAAGTCCCTAACCCAAAGTATTCACAACAGTAATAGTGATACTAACAAATTGAATTTCATTCTGCCCCCTTAGATCACGCTTTGGCTCCCTTATGTTTCGTGTGTGTGGGAGGAAGGGTTACGCAGGGTATGTTGAAGCTGTGAATCTGCTCTGGGCACACAAATAAGCCGTCTGGTCTGCATGGATTCAGTGCAATCGGGACAGCATGCGGCTTATGTACAACCAGATAGCAAATAATAATCCAACACCACGCTCACTGTCACACTCTGCAGGCCACGAGATCATCCAACTGACATAAATACAGCCTAACGCGGCCCACACACACATATAAATGTTCTAGTACACCAGATACGAGCTACACTCTTAGAAAGAAAAGGTTCTATATAGATATCTATAAAAGGTTCTATACACTCTTAAAAAAAGGGTTCCTCTGGGTTCTATATAGAACCCTAGGGTTCCATACTTGGCTAATAGAACATTAAACCAAAAAAAAAAAATGGTTCTATATAGAACCATTTTGGAGTTCCATATCGTGAGCTTAGAATTATAAGGTTCTATCTCCACTTTTGGTCGAAATTGAGTTTTTGACATAATCTAATCCATTAGGTGTTTATAAATGCCTGTGTGGTGTTTTTTTTGTAAAAAAAAAAAAAAAAAAAGAAAAAAAAAAAGATTAATAGATAAAGATATAATAGAAGATTATACTTGCAGCTGGGATGTAAAAACTTTGATGCTCAATATCTCAGAACTACCCTAAACGGAGATAGAACCTTATAATTCTAAGCTCACGATATATGAAGCGGGGGATGGAACCATTTCTGGTTCTAAATAGAACCATTTCTTCTAATAGTGTATGTGTAACCAATAATCTGTGAAAAAAATGTGATGTCAATGTGTTGCCCAAAAGTGGTTGTTATTGTTTTTTTACTAGATGTCCATTTTTGTGTCTCATCTCAGCAAGGGCAGTGACTCTCCACTTCTTTTTAATGAATGCATCAACATTTTCATCTAATAGAATTAAGAAAACTTTTAAACAGTTAAACAGTGCAATACATTGATCAAAAGTAAAAATTAAAGACTTTAACATTGTTACAAAAAAAAATATTTTGAACTTTTTATTCTTCATCAAAGAATTGTTGAATATATCGTGTGTTTCACAAAATATAAAGCAGTACAACTGTTTTCAACAATAATAATAGTAAGAAATGTTTCTTGAGCACCAAATCAGCATATTATAATGATTCTGAAGTATCATGTGACAAAGAAGAATGAAAATTCAGCTTTGCCATAAAAGGAATAAACTGCATTAAAAAGAAAAAAAAAGAAAAACGGCATTGTAAATGTATAAAATATTAAATAAATGTAGCCTTGGTGACATTAAGAGTGTTCTTTCAAAAACTTTACTATTTTTTTTTTCTTTTACCAAAAACCAAACATTTAATGACTCATATGTACAGTCAATTCTTTATTACTGAATTGGTTTAATGAGTGAATCAATTAACTATATGGGTAAATACAGAGTATAGTGAATTATATATAAACTGTATAAAAAGTGAATGTGTATAATAATAATTCAATTGACTGAGTGAGTTATTGAATCTTTTGTTCAAATGATTACTACAAAAAATCTGATTAATTCATTAATTCAGAGGGTTTCTTAGAGATTCACAAAGCCTCTGCTGTGGCTATGTTCTCTATTTGCGTTGAGGAGCAAAAATGGAGAAAATAACTACAAATAGTTAGTCTAAATGTATGTTAATTATAAAAGTCATGCCACTATTGTATAAAGCTGTATATCGGGGAAAAAAATTGTAAAAGAAAATACTTCCTGACCTTAGAACTGAATTGAATAAACTTAACTAAGGTTAAGGTTAACTTAACTAAAGCACTTTTCCACGTCACAAAACGGCCTTGTAATGGAGAGAGGGAGAAAATGAATAATGGTAATTGAAGTCTAGAGTCTGTATTATGGTGTGAACTCTGTTCACTGTCTGTTCATTTGAGTTTAGAGTTTGGAGCAGCAGCATGGTAATGAACAATCATGTTCCATCGTGGTCCATTGAACTCTGATGGGGCTGATACAACATCATTCTTGTCATTTACAGACCTTCCATGAGCGGAGAGGAACTGCTTTTGGCTTGATGGATTATAGATTCAATTTATTTCCTGCGTTCGGTTAACTGACATTTTGGGCCACAGAAAGAAAATGACTTGCTATTTTTAATTGACTTGCGTGTGTAATGTTCAACACTGTGGGTTTATGGGAGATGTTCGAAAGGAAATGGGGTAGCGCCCTAAGCCAGGAGCGCTTCCCTCCTCCCTTCTGGGTGGGCGGCAGCGGGACCGACGAAGTGCTAAATTGCTCTGCGTGAGTTTGGTCATGGCTGAGCTCTCCTTGAGATAATGAAATGACAATTAATCCAAAAGCTGTTGCTACTCACTCAGTTACTCCCTTGCGCTCTTGTAAGTGGAGGAAGGAAGAGGAGAGAAAACTACGGCCAAGAGAGGAACGCTAAAGCACCCCTTTGGGACCTTCATTTGATTTGACACACAAACTCACATAGATGGGAACCGGTGAAGAAACATAAACGCATGAATGTGTGAGAGCACACTTGCATGACCACCCATTATTAGCCAGTGTTTTTATTGTTAACCCCAGAGAAGAATGATGCGAAAAGTTTAAAAACTGCTTTAATCAGACAGAAATATAAGAAAACAAGTTTGGGGTTGTCAAAGTACAGTAGAAAAAGTTGCATAGTTGGAAAGGGTCACACATCTATGACTGGACAACAGAGATAAGAAGTAAATGGGGATGAGCTGAAATGATTTCTATAAGGCCGACTGGGGGAGTCAATGAGGTGGAGAAAAAATATTGGTTTCACTTTATTTTGATGGTGCCTTTAACACATTTGGTTGTCTATAAGTAACATTGCATTGCATTGTCTAAACTCTCATTAGAGTATTAGTAGACTGGTAGGGTTAGATTAAGTTGACATGTAGTTGAAAAGTTACTTATAGTCTGTAGAATGTATGTTGGAGGACCATTACAATCAAGAATTTGTAGATATTAAGCAGACTAGTCTACTCTAATGAGAGTTAGTCGCAAAGTTACTCATAGTCAACAGAACGTTCAAAGGGGACCATCAAAATAAAGTGTTACCAAAATATCCAAAAGAAAATGAACACTTCTCATTCAAAAGTTTGGAAGCATACATTCATTAATTAAAAAAAAAAAGTGTAGCACGGTATAATAAAAAATATTAAGCAGCACAATTGTTTTCAACATTGATAATAATAAGAAATGTTACTTGAGTAAAATCAGCATATTAAAATGATATCAAGGATCATGTGAGATGTGAAGACTGGAGTAATGATGCTATGCCATCACAGGAATAAGTTACAATTTAAAATACAGAAAAAGCAAAACCATTTTAAAATGTAATAATATTTCACAGTATTACTATTTTTTTCATTATATTAATACTGCTATTTTTTACTGTATCTGGATTTAAAAAAAATATTTGAGAAAGTGGGGATTTTTCATTATGCCAATGACAATTTTGTCAGTATATTATTAAAGATAGCCATATGTAACCTGTTGTTGTGATCGAGTAGATTGTTGAAATAGATAATTTATTTAGTATAAAAATCCCTTTTGTATCTCCAATCAAGATGAACAACTGTTTAAAATTGTTCAATGAGCAACAAAAAGTGGCAACACAAAAAAGCAACGTGCTTTGTACATGTTTAATAATTAATAATTAATGTATAATGTCACCTAACAGTGTTTCCAACCCTGTTCAAGATTATAAAGCCAAAAAAATTGATTTGGTTTCAAGGGAATGCATAAACTGATGGCTGATAAAATAAATACTTTGAATGCAAATTAAGTCAATTTGAATAAAAACATCCATTATGCATGGCACCAGTATTGTCAAAGGTGTAATACACAGCCATTTTGTTTCAACAAAAAAATACTAAATACTTAAACTGAGCAAGTGAACAATCAATGACACATTTTCAAATAGGTTTATGGTCTACCAGTCAGGTAATTGGTAAAGGGTGAATACTGACGTGAGCGCCTAATGAATGACAGCATGTTGAAAATCTCACTGTGTGCTGTCAACTAAATCTAATAAACAAACCTGTAACAATAATTGTGTTCATAGACTGTTACCGAACTGCTTTTTGTGTGACATAATGCAGTAGCTTTCCAAGAAGTCAATAACATACCTGATAATGACTGGCTTTTGCAAGCTCCTGATTGGCTGAGTCCACGTGTGATGAAGTGGTCTGAATGTAGTCTTCAATGCTGTCTGTGAAGAGAAAACAAGCATTAGCCTACTTTTGTTGTTGTCGTCATGTTTTTTTGAGGCACACAATGTTACAATGTGATCAGGTTATTCAGACTTTTACCAAATGATTTTCAGCCTATGTGCGCAAAACCTTAAAATTCATAAGAGAATGTGTGACCCACTCATACACATACACACACACACAAAAGAATGTACAAGCACGGGGTGTACCAGACACCTTTATTAACAAACCCTCTCATTCATGTTCTCTTTCCCAGGGAGAAATGGATTAGAGAGCAAAGTGCCCAATGTTAACGCTGCCAAAAACTAAAGCTGCATTACATTTTGTGGTCTCAATACACCATCATCACAAAAGGCCATGTTGAAACGAAGAGTTCAGCCAAAAAAAAAAAAAAAAAAAAAACTTGTGTCATTATTTACTCACTCTGAAATTGTTCCAAACCAGCATGCTATTATTTGATTTTCTGTTGAACACAAAACTAGAGATGCCATACAACCAGGGCCGGCGCTCCGCACACGCACATCACGCACTGCGCGTAGGGCACCAAGTGCTTGGGGGGGCACCAAAAAATCTGGGTCGTGAAAAATCATCACAATAGGCTACTAGTATAAATAACAAATAAAATATGTCTAAAGCATGTTAATATACAAAAGCAATACAAAAGCAATATGCCTAGGCTAGACCAAATTGGAGAAAAAGGTGAATCTCCTGTGCCAGTCTCCCTCTGGTGCCCCCCCTTCCCCACCTTGCAGTGGTCTGTTCCTCAATCAGTGTCAAATTTGGCAGACACCTGATCGACATCAGACATGGCCTCGAAAAGGCACCAAGAGTCGGGGGGAAAAGGGGAAAAGAAGAGACAGCGGGATAATACTCGCTTGCAGTTAAGACAATGTTTTAAATAAAAGTGTTAGTTTTGTAGGCGCCCTTGCTTCGTGTATGCATGTCCAGGGGGGCGTCGCTAGTAGTTGTGCAAATGATCCAGGGCTTTGCTCAGCATGTAGAATCTTTTATTTTAACGGGGGTCCGGGGGAATTTTTCAACTTGGGCTGTTTAAGATGCAGTTAGTTTGTTTGAGAAGAAAAGGAAGACCGCTTAGATACGTTTTTTCGTTGTTGTTCTATGCGGATAATGCGGTCAAAGGCCCAAGGGCGACATCTGTTGGTGAAACTGCAATTAGAATTATTATTAGATTAGATTATTAGGGCTGGGAAAAGCTTAATCACACCCAAAATAAAAGTTTCTACATGATCTGTGAGTGTACTGTGTATAATTATTTTGTAATATACACACATATGCACATATATATTTAAGAAATATTTGCATGTATATACTGTATATATTTATAGATAATTTATATTATATATAAATTAAAATATTTTATATATAAATAACAAATATTTCTTAAATACATACATGCAAATGTGCATTTATATATATATATATATATATATACAAAATAAGTATACACAGTACACACACATAGGCCTATATCATTAATGTAGACACAAACATTTTGGATGCGATTAATCACGATTAATCTTTTCCCAGCCCTACAAATTATGTACAGAATTATTATATTGTGCCTCATCAGACCTCTTTTAAAGGTAGAATAGAGTTTTGAGTTTTAAATGTTCCAGTGACACATAGGCCTATATTATATAAAAGACTAATGTGTGCAATATTTTTGTATGATGGTTAATGATTCAGTAGAATCCATGAATATTTTGTCTTGTATTTCTGAATGCAGGGTCAATGCTAAAATACATGGGTATGGGTGGTTGGGGGGTGGGGTGGGGGGTATGGGGGCACCACCAAGCATTTGTGCTTAGGGCACCCAAATGGCTAGTGCCGGCCCTGCATACAACAACATTTACAGCCAAACAAGCAACATACATTTATACAATTCAATTATAAAATTAAATACTAATATATAAAATGATTATTTTTTTTATATATATTTTTTTTTTATATTTTACATTATTTAAAAACAACCAAAATAGTAGTTCTGAAGCCATACAATAACTTTGCATTTAGAGGAAACCGTCCAAAAATGTCATTTTTCACTGCATAACCTTCATTCATATTGAGAATAATAATAAAAAGGGCATCACATTCAGTTACAACTAAAAACAGCAAATGTTTAGTTTTGGTGTCATTTAGGTGAATTATAAGGTGCTCTTTATCACTTTAGCCTTGCAGGATGCAATTGTGCCATACGAACTATTAAGATTCAATTCTACATTGTTTTGGGAAGCATTTACTGCCTTACTGGTCTGTGAAATGAGAGTGTTATTCTAAAAGTCTGTGAAAGTACTTTAATGATTATCAGTAGTGTGACCATTTGAAGCATACACAAATAGTTGTAGCATCTCTTTTAGTACCAAAGCAAGATAAGCTAATATTCTATAAGAAACGCATCACAAAAAGACATTTTCCGCAGATAATTATGCTTAGAAACACACACACACACTGTATGATAATCAGCTGAAAACACACAAAGACTCAGTTATGTCCTTGCTTCCTTGATTCATAGGAAAGTCAGCCAATTATTAACTTTGAATAATCCAAATGAGTCGTCTTGTTTCAATGCGCATGTACGTATACGAGCAAGTGTGAACATTGATTCAAATGCAAAGTCAATTCCCTTCCCAATTAAAAGCAAATGTGCGGTTCACCACACAGGAGAGCAGAACGAAAGCAGAAGCGGGGGGGAGTTACAGCGGGGTTAAAGCAGGGCAGGCTCAGCTGAGGGGAACACTGTAGACCTCACCTCCGCCTAGCTGGAGGAACTAATGAAGTTTTGTTTATCTTTCTCTGATTTGATTTGGTGCTGGTCTGCGCCGTCGCCGTGAGATGTGGAAAGGGAGGTGAAGGGGGTTTGCATGGAAAGAAGCTGGAAACCTGTGCGAGGAAGTGATGTATTTGTCTTCGCTTTTCCGCTATTTTTTATTAGTCTTTACGTTATTTTAATGGATTAACAAGAGCTCCAACATGCTATTAACTTTCAATCTTTCATCCCACCTTCCTGACATTCATTTCAATACCACATTTCTTTCTTTTTCTTCTGTAGTAAGAGGCAAATTGCCTGTTTTAAATGAGCTGGGTGGAGAGCAGTCACTCCATGGTGTAATTAAACCTGTAGAAGCTGTTGTACCACAACACTGCCCAGCGAAAAAAAAAAAAAAAAAAAAAAAGTATGTTTGGATTTGAATAAGCAAATACTTAAGAGATTGGATCATTATTGTAGGCATGTAATTTGCATGTATGCATTTAATTTGTTTGGCAACAGTTCTGATGGAGAGTGTACCCTAATTGATGGAGAGTGTAGCTTTTCATTTAAAAATGCTGGGTTATTTTAACCCAATTTTGGGTAAAATATGGACAAACCCAAATGTTGGGTTAAAAATGTAATTTAAAAAATAACCCAATGGCTGGGTATGTCCATATTTTACCCAAAATTGGGTTGAAACAACCCAGCATTTTTTAGAGTGTAAGAACCATATAGGAAGACACATAATGGCCATATTCCAGGATATCAAAGCCAAGATTCATCAAGATCAAATTGTGAAAGAATGGTTGGGAGGGAGCAGGGAGAAGAATCATTTTCTCACATGAATTGGCGTCTCTAAGTCCAGAGCCTTAAAATCATTGAAAGTAGGATGTCCTGGAGTAGACTTTACAGAGTGTTTGACTCTTGCATTGTCAATACAAGACCTTGACCAAAAATGTATGCACCTTTTGATGGAAATGATGTTATTTCCATCAAGAGCTGCATCGATTTTTTTACTCTAAACCATTTGCGTGTTTTTTTGGTTTTTTTTTTGCCGGGCAGTGTAGTTTCCATCTAGTTCTTGTTTTTTAAAGTTTATGTTCTCATCACAAGCCCGCTCTCCTGAACAACAAGATTCATTGAGTCACAAATGTGAAAAATAGCAAGAATAAGGTTTAGAGTACAGCAAACAAACTAAAGTTTACACAAAGCACCATCTGTAAGTGTGTGTGGGCTGTGCTCAGCACCTTCTCCAGTGACCAATGTAACCCTCCCAGCGTGAACATTTCTTCTGTCTCCATCTAAGATTACTGGCCTGTCATCTACAACCAATATAGGCACACAGAATCTTGGTGGAAATGAGAAATGGCTCATTTAGAAACACTGAAGGGAGATGACACATCATACTGAGAGTTATCAATCAATATTTCAATAGTGAAACTGAAAAGAGGGCTCTGTGCTTGATGAATCATCAGCCATGTCTGCTAAAGACACCCTGCAGGGCAACCAACCTCTTATTAGTGTCATTCATGTCAAGAAGACATTCTAAATGGAATTTTATCAAAGTTACTAAGCAATGCAGTTCCAAAACGTATAGTTGTTTACAGTCTACACAAGCATTTATTTTCTATAGCAGCGTCCTGAAATGGAACTTTGCAAGTGAAATGATTTACAAAGCTTTTCAAATAGCAACTCCGTAATCTGTCACTTGTGTACGTGGCACAAATGCATCCATACACGGAGCGCAGAAGAGACTCGACTTGTGCTCAAGTTGATTTCAATACAGTGACCGCCCCATTTATTTTTATTTTTTTCAACAGCCTTGGTTGCAGAAGTAAAGTATTCTTTCCATTCATGCTGTCCCACAATAAAGAGTGTTAAGCCATGAAAGGAAAAACACAAATGATTTCAAGCAACAACAAAAAAAATCAGACCAATGTATGGCACAAACTAGGTAAATTATGTTATGAGGGAATGAATAACATCATATGAAGCAGTGAAAATGACATCATTTGAATCAGAATCAAGGAATGGTCAAAACAAGTTGAAATCACACATTCTTTTGGATTCTACATCATCATAGTGATGAATAGTAATGAATGGGATTTTATATTTCACCGACGCTACCATAAAACTAATACATGGCTTGATACCCTACAAAAATACAATACAATCAATCAATACATATTGGACTAGATTTTGTATCAACAGAATTTTTTCTCAGTAGTAAATAAAAATGACTTGCTATTTTCAGTGCCTGAAATGTTGCCAAGCTAATGTTTTGCTTGTATATAAGTAAGCTAGATTTTGGAACAGAAATACAGTGAATAGCTGTGTATAACGACCGTAGAGATGAAGTGGGTAGCACTGATCCAAAAAGGCCTGTACTGTTTGTGCTTTAAACTAGCAAATTCACAGGAGAGGCTGTTAAATCCTTCTTTTATATGCAGAGTCCTACTCTGTGTAATACAACCTTATCGACTGCCAAACATGGGCAAACAGGCTCCGAAAACAACACAATAATGGTTGCTTTTTAATTTCCATCATCCTCAATTCATTTAAGAATTACAGGGACACATTTTACAATGACTCTAAATGAACGGGCTTGACGAGCTCTTATCTAGAGACTCCTCAGTTGGTCACTACTCAACACACACGTGCGCACATTGAATACTCCTGAAGACATTAGGCTAGAGATAATTAAAGAATCAACCAATTAGCTGAGCCGTAAAACAAACATCCAATTATTTTTGAACAATTTAGCATTCGTATAGCTGCAGAATCAAATCACCTCTTTACGGAATTAATAGGCGCACTATGTACACTGACAATAAGCAATGCTTAAGCAGTAAATAAACAGAGCAGGATCAGCGCAGTAGGACAGATGTGGCAACACAAGCACACTTGAGGAAATGTAAACATGGAAGTAACATATGCATATGATACAGTACGAATTAAACAAACAAAAGAGTGATACAAAATAGTAACTGACTAGATGAAACAGCAACAGGATTTAGTAAATGTCTGTGCATATATGCATATTATCAGTACATGTCAGGCCACATTTCTGCAAAATTTATAGGCAAAATCAGGTCATTTTAATAGGAATCTGCGTTATGAAGTTTCACATGAGGAGGAAAAAGTTCCCCATGCAGATTTCATTCATGTTTAAGATGAATTCAACTGAAGTTGACCAGCAGAAAGCTGCTTGGTTTGAAAGTGACTTGTGTGAGCTGTGTTATACAGCATATACAATAAAAGTCCTTTTAAGGCAAGTCATTTTGCTCGCTTTTAATACACTTAAATTACATATTCATATAACACTGGCAACTGAGTTCATTGGTATACAGCAAGGCATAAATAAATTATACATTTTTTATTTAGTCGAGTATTACATTTTAGAAAAAAAAACATTATACATGTAATCCCAATGTTAATTAAATTAACTTCACAAATTAAACATGATTGCATGCAATGAAATTAAGTTTTGACAAACTGTTCAAGAACTGTGTTGAATATTAGTTCATTTTAAATAACTATATTTAAAAAGGAGCCTATTAACATATTATAAAATATACTCATTTAAAATAGTAAATAGCATAGTCCTGTTTGTGAGTGTGCATTTGCTGGACAACTAACAGTTCAGCACAGCAACTAGCGCAGCATGACTTTTTTCAGTCAGGTATGCCACGATGTCAAGCTTTGTCATAGAAGCCCACCTTTCACCTTTCCATAAAGCTGTGCTAAAAGCACCAATCCAAACTTTCTGCACCTGTTTACTTGATTCATCTGTCCATCTCCACCTTCTCCTTCAACCACGACCATCTAATAAATACCCTGGGTACAATGGTAAAAAGCAATTCAGCCATTTCTATTTCAGGCTCTTATAACTCTAATGGACACTTGGCATAACTGAAATGTGTCAGGCTGGCTTTTGTTCTGGCCTTACTTCATGCACAGATCTGTGGAAGGCCTGTAAACCTCACGTCTGGGTGCAACGGCTATGTACATTTACAAAAAAAAAATATATATATAAAATAGAAATATTAAAACATACATTTTCCTCTATTAGCTCTATTACAACTAAAGTATGAATGTAAGTGAATGTTTCAAATAATTTAAACACTAATTAAATGACTTAATTCAATAACTTAATATCACATTTTAATCATGGTGATTTTGGAGGATAAAAACTTTAATGGCACTCTTCGTCTGATATTGATTAAATACATTTGTTAACCCACATATCTTGAATTTTGTGATCATTCACATGGATTGCATTTTAGGGGTTCCAAATACGTAGCGCTTTAGAACCTTTTAAGGTTCTATAAAGAACATTTCCTTCTAAGAATTTGTGATGTTGCCCAACAGTGTGGTCAAAATTAGATACAGTGGCATAATAAAATAAAATATTAAGATACCCAAGAATGTTGCCCAGATAGGCATGGTTTTGGAAAAGAACAAATGCCTCATCTTCTAAACAAAGTTTACAGGAGAAGAAAAACAGAAAATGTCAAAATAAAGTAAATAATAATGCATGTAGCGTAATGAGAAGTCCCAAAGTAGCACAGAGGAAATCAAAATGTAGTCCACCTATATCCTCAAGTGTCCTTCTAAAGGGCAGAACGACATTAATGGGGCTGGTTTATTGTATACCGCGCATCCCACTACAATCTAGCTATTTCGCTAGTCATAACTTGTGATAAACTTCAGCATGTCTGACATCATTTCCCTGTGTAAATGTTAAGTGTCCGTGCGAGAAAGAAATTGGGGATGAGGAAAGTGTCAACATCCCTTTTCTCTTGTGAACGCCTAATTGTGTTACTCCACCATTTTCTCGCCTTTTCGCATGAGCCACTGTGAACATGAGAGTGTTAAATAAGAATGAAGACTATGCAAAGCACATCCTTATCCTCTCCTGAAGGAACCATATAGTGTCTTTCCTCATCTGGCCTGTTGAATGTACAGTACACACAGGATTAATTAAAACAGCCGGAGGAAAGGACACCGGACTGGATGGGCTCCAATTAGAACAGGAATGGGCATTTTCCAACAGAGAGGCCATGGCTAAGGGTCTCTGATCTTATGTAACCATTTCATAATCAACTCTATAAAATATTTTACATTTGATGTTCTCAAACACAAGCCTTTCATAAACTGAAGTGAATGAAATACCAATGTGTGCACGCACAGCAATCTGTGATTAACAATAAATAGGGGAGAGCAGGAATAAGTGGAACACATCTATTGTTTTAAATGCTACAAGTGAATTTAAGCATAACATCATAATGTGAGGTAAGGCAATGGAAATGCATTATGAGATTTGCTAACCAGGTTCTCTTTTGAGTCCACTCACCAAAAGGACTGAGTTCACTTTCAGATGGTTCCCTTTCTAGTTCACTTTTAAGTGAACTGAGTTTGGTTCTTTCAAAATGAACTATGTGAAAACACCGTCAGTTCCTGAATCATGCTTTCCCTGTCTTTCTCTGCCGGTTATCTATAAACTGAATTTTTGAGGATCTTCTCTGATCTTAGTCTCCTCTAGAGGCCTTGCGTTGTAGAGAGACTAACTCTCAGGCTGTCATGTATTGAGCTAGTGAAGGTGATGTCTTGTTTTCTCCCCTGAAACTTCAGATCAGCACAGCAGGGGATTATGGGATGGATATGGAGGGTGGGGGGATTATCAATAAAAGGCCAGACAAACAAGGATGGGTCAATAGACTTTTAACTGGAAACGAAGAGTCACAAACACACACGCACGCACACAAACACACACAATCTCACCTATGGTGTCTCCTTGTTCATGCACCATGCTGGCCAAGTCCTTCATAATCTGATTAACGTCCAGCATGTCTCTCTGCAAAAGCAAAACAAATGTTGCTCAGAGGTGAGTCAAGCAAACATCATAGTGCTCTAAAGAAGTCTTTATGCAATCTCATGGTTCATGTGTTAGTTTGTCAGGGTTCTACGCTAAGGTTTTTCCCAAGGAGCACATATGCTCCTAAATGAAAAAAATGTAGGACCACACAAAGAAATTTTGGAGCACAGTGAAAAATGTTCAAGTAACAGAGTTTAACAAACTATTTATATATATATAATGACGGTGTGAAACCGTTGATTTGATGCAGAAGTATAAATCACCCTTTACAAACACTTTATACAACAGAACAAGGGGAACATGTTGCTCGCAGGAGGAGCACATCAGGCTAGGAAAAATGCCTTTTATTTCTAAATTATGACTATTTTTTAATCTAAACAACTTACTAACATTATAAGGGCAACCCAGGAAACATTATAAAACAATAAAATAACCCCATGTCAGGGGACTTTTGAAGAGATCGAGCATTTAAAGTGGCAGAGAACAAAACTGGTGAACACTCTTCCTCTGGTGTGGACAGTTATACAGTTATCATTATTTTTTATCTTTATAGTTATTATTCTTGGTGTGAAAAGGCCTTAATCTTTGAAATTAGTAGATTCTAACATCAATATTTCAAAAAATTCAAATTTATTCAATAGATGAATCAAAATTTAAATGAAGAAATATTGATGAATGAAAGTGTGCAAAACTATCATAATACACTCAGACATAACTTTTTAAAAACATACAACACAGAGAACAAAACAATTAAAAACAAACCACTTCCACTATTGCTGTTTCATGTCAAATCCTTCTACATAGGCCTGAAGCAGCATGGAGTTTTCTAAACCCCGAGTCTCGTGCTCACAGGCCTTTTTGTCTCCATACACAACCCCATGCAAATGCAGCTGGGTCACTGGAGCTGAAACCATTGAGCCATTCATCACAGGTGTCTGCAATTGTTTGAGAAACTGGCAGCCATCCTGGCTCTTGGCACAAACCGTTTAGCCGGAGCCAAAATGGCCTCTAGTAAATCACACATCACTCTGCATTTTTCTGTCCTTGGTCGTTAACACCATTACAGAGAAACATATTTATTTTACCCACAAAGAAGTTACTGCAATTTAGCGTGTAGTAACGGCAGGAAGTGGAGTGTCATTAAGCTTGATTAGAAGGGAGGAACTTAAAGGATGGTGAAGAAAAAAACAGCATGATACACATCAAGTTAGAGAAATCATAAGTTCATTTACTGTAATGTGCAGAGTAAACACCTCTGCATCCGCATATGGAGTAAATGGAGCAGCTTGGGTTTGATGAAATACGAAATTATTCAAATGACCTAAATAAACTTTACAGTTCCAACTTTACATGCAAAAAAATTTAGATAGACTTTTTTATTATTACTTTGTAACAACGTTAAAGTCTTTACTGTCACTTTTGGTCAATTTAATCCATCTTCTTTGAATAAAAAGCTAAAAAATCTTGTTGGATGGATGGATGAGACTCACCAACATAAATAAATCTATGGTTTCTATCAATTCGATTAAATAAACATGAGAATGTTTGAGTTCCTTTATATATAAAAAAGAGCGAGACAGTGACATATTGATTTTGAGAGCACTCTGTGACCTTCTGCCCAGGGGGAGTCTGGGTAGTCCTGAGGGCAGTGGTGTGCCAGTTTACATCATTTATAAGGGTTATAAAAGCACACAGCATTCCAGAGCTCCCTTATGACCCAGAACCCACAGTTATTCTTCATGTCACCCTTTCATGAAGACCCCAGACAGTGGCCCTGTCCCCTGTGACTGTGTGCTGAGGAGGCGGCTCCACAGACGGCCAGTGCGAGTAGTCAAGTGGTCAAGATGCGGTTCAGTCCTTTGGGTAACATGAGTCAACTAAGCAGTTGGAAGTTTCACAGCTGTTCCTTCCTGGACCAGATCAATCAGGGAGATAGATCTAAAGAGTCCCAAAACTATGGCAACTTCTTTTGTGACTTATGTCCCTGCTTGAACTAAGGAGTAAACACTACCATTTTCAGTAGCCAGAAGGAAGTTTATGTTTGCTTTCCACACTGTTTTCTTGCTTTAAGCATAAACAAACAAAAAAGATAAGAAAAAAAAAGCCAATTAAAGTAAAATGTTGAAATACTGAAAACAGATAAGCTACTTAATATTTTTGTGGAAACCGTGATATGTTTTTAACAATATACTTTGTCTTGTTACTGACCCCAATGCTTTAAAAGGTATTGTAAAAATAATATTGTTACTATTGAGATGTATGTATGTATATATTTATTTATTTACACAATTTACCAAAGTCAAAATCTATCATATTAAATTAAATTCATTATTAATGACATTGGAAATTTCAATCATTTTCTGACAAACAAGAATTGTGCTTAATTGAATTTGCAAAACCTAGCCATCGTAATGTTGAACAGCAAGAGTCATGTGGTTCACATCGATGCTCTTTTCCCTTGTGCTGCGATTAAGTTGCTCATGTCAAACATGATCCTGTTTTTATTTAGAAAACAAAGGATAGAGGCAGAGATAAATGGACACAGAGAGAGCGGCAACATGAGTCTGATAGGACTCAAAGGGTCTGCCTTTGTTTCATTAGATACAAAATGTCAGACATCTGCTGCATCTGACACACAGGTCTGCGTTGCACCACAAACGTACACACATTTCAGTGAAAGCCGCTGACAGGAACCGCAGCAGCCACACAATTAAATGTGTGGACTGATAAGACTATAGATGTCTTGGAAAAAACACTCTACCAAACAGAAGATGACTGACACTTCTATGAATGCAACATGCCAGGAAGTTTTGCAGAAGCACAGAATGACAAGAGTGATTTTGAGAGTGACTGCAAGCCATCAGAAGGCCTATCTAAGACAAGAAAACACAGAGGAAAGCTTAGAGAGAAAGATATGTGAAGAGCTGTAGTGATGGACTGACTTTACCGCAGGGCAGCTGAGGTTTCCCGGTGAATTGAAAGATTATTTGTGGTTTGTGTCCACTTTAAAAAATGCTGACAGGTGATGGATGGACAAGATGTGTAAAATATTATGAAATAATCGGATAAAAGTCCAATATGACGTTCTCTATCTCTCAAAAAAGAGAGCCCTCTTGTGTTACTGGTAAAAGATGCACCAACATTACTGCTTTTGTGAAGAAGAATTTAATTTTAAAGAATTTTTTACAGATTGCTCCTAGCACCACTAAACAAAGGAGTAAATAACTGTTGTTTTTGGACAATTTTCATGAACAGTATCATTCTGAAGCTAAAACAAACAAAAAAAAAAAGTTTTCGGTGAGTGAAATAAAGTTGAAATAAAACAAAATATATAAATTAGATGAAAAACATAAACGTACAAATAAAATATTCGATATGTTGGGAAGGCATGAACTAAAATAAATCATATTAAGTCAAGTAGCCTACTAAAATGACTAAACAAAAAAAAAACTATATTGAAATGACATGAAAAGCTAATGACAAAAGCACAAGACAAAATTATTCAAACTTAAAGTAATGAAAACTAAAAATATAAATGCATATTCCAAAATGTTAGCAAATACTATAAAGGTATATAAATATTACTAAAAATAACACTGAACAGTGGCAAATAATCATCGAGTTTACACCTTTCCACTTTTTGGGAGATTAACCAAAAAAAATGGCCTACTTATTGTAATATCTGCATATTATACTTGGATAAAGTAGTGGAAAAGTAAGGGAAAAATATTTCAACAGTGAAACAAAATGACACACATTACCTTTAAAATACAATACTGGGTTGCAGTGGTTAAAGCTCAGGGCTGGTAATTGAAAGGCAAGGCACTTAACCCCAGGTTGCTCCAGGGGAATTGTCCTGTAATAAGTGTATTTTTAGTTTTTCTGGATAAACACATCTGCTAAATGTCTCCTTTAATTGAAAGTACGCAATCATTGCTAAAGGTAACACAATGTGGCAGCTATAAACAAAATAAATGTCTCTTAATAAAGAATATATTGAATTTGGTCTGAGTTTCTGTACACTGTGCAGTCCTGGCAGTGTCATTGATAAAAGGTGATGATCTGAAGCAAAGGGCCCAACAAAATGACTGGGCACAGGCTAAAAATGTTGTTTTTTAGGACCTGAAGGCTTCAAATGTCCCTATGATTCTCTTCACAAGCCTAATAGTAACCATTATGTAAACACACACATACACACACACACACACGATCAAGCAATAACATCCAGGATGCCCTGGGTGGAAGATAGGTCAGATGTTCAAATGTATGTGTGTCTTGAGTTCCCATTTGAGTGTACCAGTGTGTCCAATGTCTTGTTCTTGTTTTGTCTAGACTTATCCACGATGTGCAAATAACATTATGGGAATAAGTTACACATGGGCAGTCTTATACAAGAATGTAAAGTATAGGCAGTAAGAAAATATGAACCATGGCCACTTTAAATCATTTATGATTTAGCACTTAACCTCTGAGGAAAATTTGCTAAGGGTTTTTTTTTTCAAAGGATAGTAAATTCATTTATTACAAACAAGTGCATATTTATTCTCTGGAAGCCATGCTAAATGAATAAACACTGTTATTGCACTCCCGGCAATGGGTCAGACCCTAAATAACTCGATATAAGCATAATGTTATATAATATATTTAGCTAAATTTACCTAACTATATATACTGAACTTATTTCTCATACCACTGGCAAACCATTTAACCATCCATCCACCCATTCATTCATTCATTTAGCTTTGCATTACTTGCAATGCGTACCCCTAAAATATTTACCCCTTCACAGAAAATAAGAACGGACAACATCCAGCATGTTGAAAACGGAACATGAAATTAAATCAAATTTCCTTATATAAAGGTGGATAAGGAAAGGGATAACCTTACTGCAGTAAAAGGAGCTGTGGTCAAGCAACAATACAGTGTTTTTATGCATTTATAAGAGCTGAAATGTGCACTAGATGATCCTGACGTTTTAC